TGACAAAAGCACAGACCAGACAAGCTGTTAAGACACACGCCGGCTGAGACGTGCGGATGTCTTATTAAAATCCGGAGCTCTGCACATATAGTTCATCTGGAGGCTGGCGCTGCAGGGCTCGGCCTCAGGTGTCAGAGACCAGTCTTGTTCACCCACACTGATAAAAATACATCTGCACGGAGGACAGAAAATGATCACACAGTGACTCGCTTCCTCTGCACGCTCGAGGTTCTCCAGCGACAGAAGCGAGACAGCTGATTGCACTTACAGCGATCGTGTCTCCAGAAACACACTGCCATTTTTTCTAATATAGATTCGTTTTATTTGGAGGTTTCAATGTTTTAGCCCGGCAAGGCTAAGACGGACAAAACGGATCGCCTAAATTTGGAATCTAAAAAGCATAGCTAGTAATATTTCACAGGAATTGTGGAAAAAAAATAAAAACAATAATATGTGCAACACAGACAGGTCATTAAACATTAAGCAACACGAGGGAATTTCCTTGAAAACACATATCAATTACTGTGAGTCGTACTGAAAACTAATATTCTACTTAACAGAAATGAGGTCTTAATGGATAGCTCAGTGCAATTATCTTAGCTTTTTACTGCTTGCAATCTCAGGAATGTTTGAAGCACCAACAAAGAACCTTTAATGCTATAAGTCATCAATTAAAGCAATATCCCCAGCAACACCTATATTGAAAATGATCAAACAACTCATTAGTCAACTGCCTGTTGAAATGATCGCCACGATGCAGAAAAAAAAACAAAAAACAAGATAGTAAACTGACTTTAGCAGCAGAGTGCATGCAAGCTGGAATAAAAGTGTTATTCCCTTATTTTGTATTACTTCCTCATTTATAACACGTTGCATGTTAGCTTGTCTAAAAAGCTGTTCAGGTTTGTCCAAACAAGTAGCAATGAAGCAAGTTTAGTAAAATAGTAATTTTGTCAAGTGTACATATCAATAGTGATGACAGCTATGGCTCCTCTGAGTGGTACGGCATGGTGCAGCACCAGTGGTGCCTAACCGCTCAGTGGGAAATAAGGCATTAGTGTGTGTACACTGGGATGAAGAGTGTTAAATTTAAAGTGTGTGACAGCATTAGAAAGAATGTTCAATGCCATATATAGTTTGTGACGTAATAATGACAAAAATAAGTCTAATTTCCCTGGCATGCCAGCCATTTAAATGAATAAGGAAGACTTGTGGGGAATTTTGCTGATGACACAAAGTGTCCACTCTCTGTGGATGTGCTGATACTTTTGCTTTCTTTTCCATGAAACTCATTCTGCAATCCAGTTATTCCACTTAAAGTTCAGAGTAAATACAGATTTATTACTGTCCCCTGAGGCGGGCTGGTCTGTGTTGTGATATTTCAGTTAGTCGTGAGTCATAGTGAGCATGTGTAGATGACGGAACCAAACAAAACAAAAAAAAATTCAGAAAGAGGCTATTTAGTAAAATTACATTTGGCTCACTTCTAAAACTCACCACGCTACAGATTGTTTTAAAAAATACCAAAATAATCTGTGGCAGCGGCCAACCTTGTATCGGTATGTACCATAAAACGCACCTCAGTTCAGATCAAGTTTTGTTCCTTAGCATTTTGTTAAGAGATTCTTTGAGTCAAAAAGTAGGTTAAAGCCTAAATCTCATGTGGTGGAATCTATTTAAAAGGTTCGACAACGAATGAGCGTCACACGCACACAGGCTTTGCGTTGGCAGTTTATGAGATCCGCATCAAGTTAAGTAACTACTTGGCAACAACAACTCCCGACCAGATTTGAGAGTGCTCCCTCAGCTGGTGTCTTAAAACCTCCGGCCAGTCAGCAGCTTGGCATTGTGAAGCAGGCTGGCCTGTTGCAAAGGTGCAAATTACATGTGGAATCTGTTTGTCTGTGTTTTCAAAACTATAATATAAAACACAATGGACTGCATACATTGTTATTGTTCCCGCTATTCTGCGTAAAGTTAACTTTAATTTACCTCTGTGTTTTGCATGTGCTTGTGTACATGTGTGGCATGCCGTCGGCCTCCGGCAGACGCCCTAATCTCCTTGCAGTCATGCTTTAGGAAAAGATTATGAAAATGGTGCGAGCAGTTTGTCACTTTAGTTTATTGCTACTTCTGTGCACACAAACACATGCGCGCCGTTTATAGGCGGGTGGGTACACTGTTCTGCAGCCGGAGGACTCTATAAAGCCGTGAGCAGTCCATTTCTGCAGATTAAGCACAGAGGGTTGCTGTAGCTTGAATGCAAATGTGGACAGAGTGCAGGTAAAGGAAGGACGCAAAGAGGATTAACTCATTAAATAAAGCAAACTTTAACAAAAAAAAAAAAGAGAGAGAGAGAGAAGTAAGTCCTTGCTGATATCATTTTTACTCCTGGATAATTGGAATTGGTCATTTCCTCCTTTGCCACTTCTCTTTTTTATCCTCTTTCCCTCCCTCTCACTTCATCCTTTGACCTTCCTTTTACATTTTCTTTCCTTTTCCCCTTTAGGATTTTGCTCACTGCGTTGGGTGAGGAGTCAAGATAAGGAAAGAAAACAACTCCTCACTTCTTGCTAGAAATGTTTTGACTCCTATGATGAAGCCAGAGGAGCGGGTCCTGTGTGTGTTTGTGTGGACCGAGGCTTCAGGACACCATTAATTCAAGCAGACTCCAGTCTCCTTCTGGTTCTGGAGGGAAATCTCTGTTTAGTGCAGGCCTGCGTGCGGCTGTTCTGACACCATCTGCGTCAGCGCCGAGCGGTCCACCGGTTTCAATCTTACAATCAAAAACATCAAAAAAAAAATAAAAGAATAAATGCCGGGTTCCTCTGGTAATGCAATTGTTTAGCACTTGATTAATGCACATTGCAGACCATCTCTCTGCTCGCAGGCATGTGTGCATCCATCCATGTGCAGGTGGGTGACTGTAGCTTCTGAGCGAGTCCATGTGTGCCATGATTACAAATCTGCTTTTCCCTCGACGGTTCGCAGTGGCGAGCAGCACGGCCGTGCCTCTGCGAGCGCTGAAGGACAGCCGGTGCAGGCGAGTGACACCATTTGGTGAGTTATGAATTTGCACATTGAAATTCCAGAGAAAGGCCCGAAAAGATCCCCCCCCCCCCCCACCAAAAAAAAAGCCAAAGAAATACAGACGAGTACAATGTACTTATCTGAAGTAATTCAGATAAGCCTCGTATTTACCGTAGATATGTTCCTCTCGACATCACCCACGAACGCAAATTACTTTTTCAATATTGCATTTTCAGCATGATGACTGCGCTCGTCCTCGCCGTAGAGCAGCTACAGTCTATTTAGCGTCGGATCGATGTCTTTTCCTTTGCAATCATTGACTCGAACGCTAACAAACCGTGATTTCCAAAACAATCCTTTCCAGAGCTCGTTTAGCCTCGATCGACCTACAAAATCGCCGTCCCGAAATGACGAGACTCCAACTCAGAGAGGCTGATTCAGGCTGAAAATCAGATGTAAGCCGGTTTAATGGACTTATAAAACGAGCCGTGTTTTAAAGCGGACAGCAATGCTGTGACACACAGGGCCCATCTGCGTCTACGTCCGAACCTATAACGAGAAGATTGCGAAGCCCCCGGGCAAAAAGAGAGAGAGATAGACACATGGAGAAAGAGAGAGCGAGGGCGAAGATGATCGATGCAAGCACCTTTTTTTTTTTGTGTGTTTTGGCATGATTCCTTTCCCTTTTCTTTCCTCCCTGGCTCTTGGCTTCATTTTCCCTGCCATGTGTCAAATAGCAAAACCAAGGGCAGCTGTTCTAACTCATCATGCCGAGCAGCAGAAATCAATGAAAACCTGAAAGAGATGGAGGACTGAGGGGAGATGGTGAGCCTAAACATTTCATAACTGTGTTGGACGCTGTCGTCCCCCAAACCTCAGGTTGCACTGGCATTTACATATCATTGGGAATATCAAAATGCATTATATATTTCACTCTAAGTGTCACTACAAACGCAGACGATGAGTTTTGTGGATTTGAGACGGAGGAAACTGGTGGAGTCAAATTCCAACTATAATACAAATCTCTTATAATCCAACTCTCCACTGCGTTTTTTTTTTTTTTTTTTTAACAAATCAATCAAAAAATAAGTAGGCAGCATTCCCAACACCCCAAACGTTCTTATACAGAAAGTTTAATATTCATCCATTGTTGAGTTGGAGCACCAGAACGACTCCCAAGGCTTTTGGATGGTCATGCATGAACAAACAGGATAAACAGATACGAACACACACACACACGGCTCATTTGAATAAACAACCAGCAGCAGCACATTCCCCTGTCTGTTTCGCTTCTCTGAATGTTTTCCTCAAATTCGTTTGCGCCCCCCTCTCTCTCTCTCTCTCTCTGGAAAACCTCGATTTTCAAAGATCTTCAACAGAAAGTCGATTTGACGACTGCCAGAATAAATAAAGCCAAGGAGAGAAAAAGAATAAATACATCAATGAAGTTGTGTCGAAAAAAATAATACAAAAGAACAACAGAAGATGACATTTAGCTTTGGAGCTGCTCAAATTTCATCTAACCCCTCTCTCCACCTTTCATCCTCTGGTTTTCCGACAATTCTAGTCCCTTTTCTGTTTCGATTGCCCTCAACAACCTTGTTTTCTTTTGACCTTTGCATCACAAGGAACATTAAAATGTGAGCTAGATGTCACTTTTTGAAAACGATGAAGTGAACCAAAGCCCAAAGACGTTGCAAAACCTTAAAAGACTCGTTTACGCCAGCCCGGCTTTCCCGCTCATTCATTCACTTTTCCTCTCACATCTGTGTGTCTTTCAGCCTTCTTCCCACCTCAATCAAAAGCAACCTTAATAATTCCAGCTTATCTTCACACTAACAATTTTCCTCCGGCGTCCTCTGGGTGGAACATCCCAGCTTCCCTCCCATGTGTTATCTCGCTTCATTCCTCCAGTCACCACTGTGTGCATGCGAGAGCGTGCGTGTGTGTGTGTGCGCGCGTGAGCAAACACTAACCTGCCCTTCTGGCACGCTGAGCAAAGCCAGGCTCGCTCCCTCTTGCTGTAGGTGCAGCAGGTCTTGCACACGTTGTACTGGCAATCCAGGCACTGGCGCTTGGGGTTGAACAGGAAGGTGAAGGGCGCGCAGCAGCGGATGCAGCAGTGCTCGTTGAAACGATGCTGCTTGGAGAGGATGGAGCATCTGCTGCCTTCCTCCGTGAGCTCCTGCTTCATCTCACTGGAGAGAGAGAGGAAAAGAGAGAGAGAGAGGGAGAGAGAGAGAGAAAAGGCAGGGAGGGGGAGAGAAAGTGAGAGGCTGGTGAGCGTCTGGTTGAGCGGTGGGGAGTGAAAGCGGCACAGTAAGTAGGCAACAAAGAATAATTAGAAAAGCTGCAGCGGATTAAAAATTCAAAGGGGTGCAGGGCATTGAAACAAAGCAGGAGAGAGCAGAAAGGGTCATTTCCATCCACTCCCAACTGCGTGCCCGTCTCTCCGTCCCTTACACCGATTCAGTGGAATTAACATGATGGCTGACATTTCAATTTGGAAAAGACCTGACATGCCTTGCTTTCCCTGCATCCGTCTAAATTACAGCTGAAGAGGGCATGCCACGCACATCTGCTTCCTCCAAGACGTTTTGTTATCCATTAATTAAGACATTGTGACAGTGAACTGGCATAAATAGCAACCTAGTTTGGGAGACGACGCCTAAAGCTAGGACAAAAAATAAAATAAAATAATAAAATCCCTGCCGGGGAGCCGTTCAGGCACAAGCTCAAACAATTAAAGTTTGAAACAGGAAAAAAAAAAGAGAGGTGAAGTCCCAGTATTAGGAATCCCTTAGGAAACAAATCAGACTACTGAAATGCAAGATTTCAGAATGAGAATCCTTCCCTATTATAATAAAGGGAAGTAGAAGCCTCAACACTGGAAGACTAAATTCCTCTAAGAAATCAGAGGGAGTTTCAGCTTTGCCATAGATATGAAAAAGTTTGACATGTTGTCTGTTTCAAATGTTGACAGGCATTTCTGTTTCAACAACTCTACAGTTGTGATAATAATTTGCTGCATGGAGTTTGCATGTTCTGCCTGTGCATGTGTGGGTTCCCTCCAGATACTCCAGCTTCCTCCTAACGGTCAAAACCATGACTGCAAGGTTAATTGGTCTCTCCAAATTATCCTTACATGTGTGTGTGTGTGTGTGTGTGTGTGTGTGTGTGTGTGTGTGTGTGTGTGTGTGTGTTAGTTCCTGTCTCTGCAAGGATACGCCTGTTGGATAATGGACGGATGTATCAATATGTCCAGTTTAGAAGATGAAACAATTCTTAGGAAAGCAGAGTCCCAGTGATAAACCTTTCATAAACCATCTGTATTTAATTAATCAGTAATGTAAAATAACATTGGAGATTCTGTGTTTGGCGTTTTTACGCTTGTCTTAATCTGAAGTGGTTCTCTTGACAAGTACAGTGAAGATTTAATAGATAATAAAATGGGTGTACAGCATTTGTTCAGTGTAAATTTATCACAGTAATTTAGATTTTTAGCTAAAGATGATTAGATGCAATCGAAACTCGTGAAAGAGCAAGAAAGGCCCCGTCGGTTCAGCTCTGCCAGGAAGCCCACGGCAACTCGACTGTCAAAAGTTCAAGATTACTGGGCTTAGTTTAAATTATATATTTATGTAACATAATTCCCAAAATGATACCCACACACACAACAAAATGTTTGAAAAACAGACGTAGATGAATATTCAAACGGAACTAAAACAAAACGCCAAGATAAAATGAGCTAAAAACCAAAACAATGCTAAAGGCTAAGGAAGTACGTGCAATCAATCAATAAGAACTACAAAGCTTCTCCGAAAGAGGGCACAAAGTTCAACTGATAGACTGACTTTAAAGAAAGTCTTAGCCAGTGAATTAAAAAAAAAAGAAGCAAAAATTTAAAATTTGTTGCATTATTTATCATTTGATTAACAAAATACGTGTGTGGATATGATGGCATCCTTTCTGAATGCAAACTAGGAGCATTAGCCTTGAGGAAAGGAAAACAATGGCCTGAAAATATAAGATGTGAATCAATGTTTTAACTAGCAGGGCCGCTGTGTAAATCCTCGACTGCTAATGTAAATGATCCACAGCCTTAGAGTAGAAATTCTGCTGACTGTGCATTAGAAGCAACAGCCTCCCACCCCCTCAAAAAAAGAGATAAATGTTTTGCTTTAATACTATAAAATCAGTCGTCGTTGGCCCAAACAGCAGTGGTGTGAAATGTTCCTGACAGCGTTCCCAGAGAGGAGGTCGGTGCGACACATTTACCCACACTGTCAGCCACCAGCCGTCGTCAGGCTGCGATATGGAGGCAAGGCAAAGATGTTGCTGTTGGTAAGGTGTAAAAAGAGGAGTTCTGCTCAAACAGCTAGCGAGTAAATAATTTAAGATGCTCCACTGCGGGATGCGCTCGGCCAAAGCTCGTCCTTCAGGACTCTCGGTGATCCCACGCACGGACACGCGCATTCAGAATACAATTCAAACACACAATGCTGCTGAGAAATGATTGCCACGGAGAAAAGATGCGTCTGCGGTCCCCTACTGCCGCTAAAAATTAAATGTGTGGCAAGACAGTGTGCTGAATGCAGCGTATTGCAAATTTCCTGCGTGTAATGTGTTTCCATTGGGGGGTATTTCAATCTCCTCGCAACCCCAAGTCATCAGCGCCGCTCCTCAAGCACACTCTCCGCTGCTCCGCTTATTGCTTTTCATATGCATCATTACACGGCACATATTAACAAGATGAACAAACCAATTCATAAAGGGTGTCGTGAGAACAGGGCCGTGTGCGAGCGTGCTATGTTGGTGCAGACATGACTACGTTTTCTGTTCTAAAAGCCAGAAATGTACTTTTATTATTATTATTATCATTATTATTATTTCCAAGAATCATAGTGTGGTTTGACAAGATCCAATTTTTCTGTACTGAAGAAAAAAGAAAGAAAAAACATACAGAGTGTGCTCATCTCTCTATAAGCTGGAGAAAGCAGTTGTCTGAAAATCATTTTGTTAGGTCCTAATTAGGATCAGGAACTGCATTGCCTTTCAGTGTCCCTTAAATGAGTTTAATCAGCAGAGCAGTTACTGTAGATGACGGTTATGTCTCTCCGGCTGTTTAATTACATCATCTAGCAAATGCACAAAAAGGGTTTTGTAATGCTTGGGATAACTTTGCATTAACATACAGCTCAAAACATCGCTCTTCCCAGCAGTTGCACTGTTGACAGAAACACTTGGGGCTTCCAGATGCCAGCAGCCACTTTATTCATTTACCCTTGAACTTGTTCGCATTTATGTCACATTATCCACCTGTGTGTGATTTAAGCTCAGTAAATCCGAAGGTGTCGGAGTTTCTTGGAGAACAATCGAGGACAGACGCGTTACTAAAAACCAGAACATTTGATTACGACATCTTATTAACTGCTGTTTCATTCATCACCAACTCAAAACAGGAAAGGGTACGTCGCAACTCCAAACTCGTGACAAAGGAAGTGGGCCGCTTACCAGAGCATCATCCAGAGACGCGGTCAAAAAGGCCGTGGTAGTTCTGGACGAGCTTCGTTTCAGACGCCGTGAGTGGCAAAAAAAAATAAAAAATTCAGCCCCTTTCATCACCTATTTCGTCATCTTTCATTATGTTAAAGTCTGCCAGATGTTTGGGGAGTTTTCCTGAAAGCTGCGGCCGTATGTCGCATCAAGTCACAATTTTCCCGTGACATTTAAAATGCTAATATTTGAAATTAATAACTTGTTTTTTAATGTCGACAAGATTAACGGCAGCAGCTTGTGACAAATTGGTGAGGGAGACGTCTCAGAGGGTGCCGAAAGTTTAAAGTTTCCAAACTTTAGGATTGCAAATAAAAGTACTGAGTGTGCTGATGAGTCACCGTGGGGTAAAAGGTGATGTTGCTGTGAGAAACAACAAACTGAACACCGATCCCTTACATTGTAGCTTTAGGAGTGCATGTAAATTTAATGATATGCAAAGTATTTCTGGTTGCCTGTCACTCCCGATGAGAAAAGCTTTTGCTTAAGATCTATGGACTCTTTCCGTCGTCATCCGTCCCTTTGTCATCTTTCATTCACATCTGCAGTATTTTTTTTCCCCCACTCGCCTTTTCTCCTCCCTTGTGTTTACGGGGATCTATTACTACTGTTATTTTATTCTTGTGGCTCCTTTGCCTCTCTGTTCACCTTCCTCTCCCTGACAGACATGCAGACTTAGAGTTGATTTATGCCACAACTGGACTTGTAATCTAAATGACGGTGTTTTTCAGCCTTCAATAAATTCAGGTTTTCTACATTATGTCTTCACTCTTAACAGCTGCTGTCTGTCTGGCTCAGGACTTTAGAGTTGCAGATCACAAAGCGGATGCCTAAATGACTAGCATCACATTAAGCCTTACTTTAACACTCTGGGTTAGTCACTTCCGATTAAAGACAGGAAATAAAATACATCTTTCTTGGAAACATGTACCAATAAATATGAAGTTGATACAAATTTCATATTTCTTTTTAGTTGTCTCCTGTTTTTGAGGAGTGACAAGACTGTTAATCAACCGATTAATAGCCTGCATTATACTTCCTTACATTTTTTGTCTCCTGTTCCTCTTTTTTGGATTTTGAAGCTCATCTTACAACCTGGCAATGATTTAGCAGCACAAAATGCTAATTCTTGTAATATTTTACATGGACTTAAAGACAGCCACATAGTGTCATTTTATAGCACAATCAATTAACTGTTGTTTTCAGTTGTTATAAAATTACTGTATAATTCAAACATAACCTAAAAACATTTTGACCCTTTGAAATTGGCCTCTGTGTCTTTAAGAAGCTCCTGCTCTTTCTGAAACTCCGGCTCCAGCACATCATCATAGCAATGCTTCTCATTATGTCGTTTCTCATTGCGTCGTTCTTAGGAGTGTTGGACTGAGCAGTAATTCGTTTGATGAGATCAGCAGACTCACAGTTCAACCCGTCGTTTGCTATTTGCTGCTGCCACTAGTCTGAAGGAGTCGAGTTGGAAAAGTCTTATTTTTTGACATAGCAGTAAAAAAAAAAAATCCTAACATAGTGAGGATCATAATTTATTTTGTAAACTACCACCTTTTTCTTTTAAACTTTGCATATTCAGTTATGTTCTTGATACTTGCTGAATAGAGAATTCACTTTTAAGACATTTAACAAA